ATTATATTATGCTTTGAATTTAAATATATAATCCTATTTTCTGCATTGCACAATATACCAATTTCATTTTTTTAAATATACATTTAATATTTTATTATTACAAAAATATACATGCTCATTATAGCAAATCTAAAGAACAGAATAAGTATAAAAAAGAAAATAAAAAAAATTTTAATGTACCATACAAGATAATTTATCAGTCATAAAATCCCAGTCCATTTCAATTTTTCTGTATATACATATTACAAACACAATTTATTTTTCACACAACTGGGACTATTGCTATATAGTGTTTAAAATCTTGTCTTACTTAACTGTAATGATATAATTATTTCCCTTTGCTCTTAGATACTGTTCAATGATTTTTAATGTCTTCATAAAAGTTTATCATGTAGCTACATGGCAATTAACCCTTCTTCCATTGGTGGGCATTTGCATTTGCCTTTTTTCCACATTTCCATTTGCATATACATTACTATAAGGGCAATTTTTAAATGTAGTTCTGTGTGTGCACCTCTGATAATTTCCTCAGGAAAAATTCCTAGAAATAAAAATCCTAAATCAGACCAAACAATTTTAAAATTTTGCTACTTATTACAAGGCAAGGATGCTCACTATCAACACTTCTACTCAACACAGTATTATAAGTCCTAGCCATAGCACTCATACAAGACAAATAAATGAAAGGCATCCAAATTGGAAATAGGAAAGTAAAACTTTTATTATTGGCAGATGACATGATACTATATATATAGTAAACCTAATAAATAGCTCCACCAAAAAACCTAAAACTATAGGAACTAATATATGACATCAGTAAAGCTGCAGGGTATAGAATCAATATACAGAAATCCGTTGTGTTTCTATAGACCAATAATGAACAATCAAAAGAAGAAATTAAGAGAACAATCCCATTTACAACTGTATCAAAAAGAATACCTAAAAAAAATTTGTCCAGAGGAGATAGACCTGTACACTGAAAACTGTAAGACACTGAAGAAAGAAACTAAACAAGATATAAATAAATAAAAGGATATACATTGCTCATGGACTGAAAGAATATTGTTAAAATGTTTATGCTCAAAATAATATACAGACTCAATGCAATCCCTATTAAAATACCAACAGCATTCTTCACAGAATTAGAACTAATCCCAAAATTTATATGGAACCACAAAAGATCCCAAATAGTCAAAGAAATCTTGAGAGAAAGAACAAAGTAGGAGGTATCACACTCTCTGATATCAAACAGTACTACAAAGCTACAATAATCAAAACGGTATGGTACTGACATAAAAACATATATAGAGCAATGGAATAGAATGGAGAGCACAGAAATACATTCTGATCATTGACTTGTATGGTCAATTAATCTATGACAAAGGTGGCAAGGACATATACAATGGAGTAAAGAGAATCTCTTCAATAAGTGGTGCTGGCGAAACTGAACAGATACGCAAGACAGTGAAATTGGACCATTTTCTTAAAGCATATACAAAAAAAATTCAAAATAGATTAAAGACTTAAATGTAAGACCCAAAACCATAAAACTCCTAGAAGAAAACACAGGCAGTAAACTCTTTGACACTGTTCTTACTCATATCTTTTTTGGATATGTCTCCTCTGGCAAGGGCAACAAAAGAAAAAATAAACAAATGGGACTACATCAAAAGAAAAAAGTTTTGCACAGTGAAGTAAACCATCAACAAAACAAAAAGACAACCTACTGAATGTGAGAATATATTTGCAAACAGTACATCTGATGAGGTTAATACCCAAAATATGTAAGAACAATATAACACCAAAAAAAAAAATGATTAAAAAATGGGCAGAGGACCTGAATACTCATTTCTCCTCAGAGGACATATAGATAGATGGCCAATAGACATGAAAAATTGCTCAACATCACTAATCATCAGGGAAATGCAAATTAAAACCACAATGAGGTATCACTTCACACCTGTCAGAACGGCCATCATCAATAAATCAACAAACAAAGGGAGCCCTTATACAATGTAGGGATTGTAAGTTGGTGCAGCCAATATGGAAAACAGTATGGAGGTTCCTCAAAAACTTAAAAATAGAACTACCTTATGACCAAGCAATTCCACTTCTGGGTATTTATTAGAAGGAAACAGAAATACCATTTCAAAACGACATATGCACCCCTATGTTCACTGCAGCATTATTTATGATAGCCAAGAGATGAAAGCAATCTAGATACTCATCAACAGATGAATAAAGATATGGTGTGCGTATCTGTGTGTGTGTGTGTGTGTGTGTGTGTGTGTGTGTACACATACCAGGGGTGCCAAAAAAATGTATACAATGGGCACTTTGGTCAGCATTGCTCAAGCAGTTCACCGAATCAGAAGTGTCTGGATGCTGATGGTAACCACTTTGAGCACCTCTTGTAATTGCAGAAGTTAAACGTGACTTGTATTTATCTTTTGTTATCGGTATATATTGAGTATTACAATTTTAATACAGTTTTCCTTTCTTAAAATGTGTATACATTTTTTTGGTACCCTCTGTATACACACAATGGACTATTATTCAGCAATAAAAAAGAATGAAATCTTGCTGTTTGCAACAACAAGGATGAACCTAAAGGATATTATGCTAAGTGAAATAAATCAGACAAAATAAGAGAAATACTGTATGATCTCACTTGTATGTCAAATCTAAAACAAAACAAAACAAAACAAATGGATGAATAAATAAAACTAAACAGACCCATAGAGAACAAGCAGATATGCCAAAGGGGAAAGGATGGAGGATGGGAATTAAAAAAAAAAAAATTAACACTGCAGAAGATTAAATCAGAGACAGGGAAAATGTAGGAAACAGTTTTAAAAAAAATAATAATATTCACACCCTTTTGTTCCATTCTTTTAAATTACTCTTCCCAGTTATCAAAACTAGTATCTTTAAACAGAAATGTCTCATCTTTTTGCAGAAAAAAAATGTTTTGCTACTTATTGTCAAATTGCTACCACTTATCTGGAGAGAAATTTATATCCCCAATAGCAATGTATAAGAATGGTTATCTCATGTTACTCCTCTAGCACTTATTACTATCTTAAAAATATTCGCACATTTTTCATTGTTACACATTTATTTTTGCTCTTTTTGCTTTTTTTTACAAAAATACCTGGATGTTTTTTCACACTTCTTGGAGATATTTCCTCCCTGTGGATTTATGTGTATTACCCATATTTCTAACTGGACTGTTCAACTTTTAAAAAATTGTTCATAAGAGTATATTGTGATATTTTAACTAAATATCACTTATATTTTATTTTGCTTTGCTGCTAGTTTTAGATAATATCTTTCCAATCAACAGGAGAGGGATTGTTCTTTTTCATGAGTGAAAAAAAAATCAATTAAAAACATTTAGGCTGAGGCAAAGACTGCACCTAGAAAAATTAAATCAACCCTACCCCATGGGGACGCCTCTTCCCACAGCAAACGTTTCTACCAGGAAGTGATCCAGAAACGGAAGTGCAGATCCTGATAGGCAGCCTCCTGAGTCAACCATTGCCTCAATAACTCAGGATTTTTCCTTGTGTTTTGATTCTAGCTTTTCACATGTTCCCTTGGTCCTGGTCTTCGGGGTGCAACTGTGAAACTGAAAGGTGACGCGGGCGTACATCCAACCCATCCATCAAAGGGCATGTGGCATCCTCACACACCTTCAGTTTGCAGGCTTTCTGGTGTTGGCGGCCCTCTTTGTTCGCACAATTCTGCTTGGATTGTTTTCACTTCCATACATGTTACTGTTGATAAGAACAAAGCTGCCTATCACAGCTGTTGAGCAATCGGTTGTTGAATGACGGCAGATGCCGTTTCAACATGGGGTGCGGTGGAGCGTGTGCACATTTACACAACTTCTTTGGCGTCACTTAGAAGAATGATGTGATAAGAGCTGATTTTCTGCAGTGACAAGAAACATACTTGGTTTTTTTCCCTCTCTCCGTTTCACAGCTCTTGACGACCAGCCACAGGCAGAAGTCACCACTGCTTTAGCTGAGAAATGCTGCTTTCCAAAATCCTTTGGCAGAGTCTCCCAGAGATTTGTTTTTCTGCTCCTTCCTAATTTAGCAACAGTTTTCAAAGGAAAAAAAAACAACCCGACAAATCGATGTGAGAAGAAACTAACTCTAATTTTGCTTTTTTTTTTTTCATGGAAAGTTTCAGGGTTTATCATCTACACCTAATAAAAGTGGACAAGATAATTTTGGGGGAAAAGTAAACAAAAATCTGTATACACAAGTATCCCCAAGATCAGATAGTTCTTTATTTAAGAAGCAACATGTGATGCAAATTCAAGATTTTATTAAAATCATTTGTAAGTAAAGTTAACATGGTATCTTGGTGATGAAGGAAAATTTTTAATAAAGCAAAAGAATGAGTTATGTGAAGAAACAGAAGAGTGAACAGTGTTAACTGTGACATTTAAATGATTACATAATTTTAATTATTCTTTTGATAATAAGCAGCTTTGTAAGCATCTATTCAAGGAACCGCAACTTGGGCCTGCTGTGGAATTTGCAGTTGAATTAGAGCTTTGTTTCCTGCCTTTGGTAATTTTTAAGGAAACAAATGGAAATGCTTTTAAGAACTTATAAAAATCTACTACCTACCAAAAGAAATACAAAGTTAAGGTGTTAAGCACTAGGACGAAAAAGTGAAAACACACACACACACACACACACACACACACACACACACACACACACTCTACAGCTGACCATGAACAATGTGAGGGTTAGGAGTGCCACCCTCACCCCCCCTTCAGGTACAAATCCGCATATAACTTCTGACTCCCAAAAACTTAACTTCTAACAGACCATTGTTGACCAGAAACCTTACGAATAACATAAAAAATCTCTTAACACATATTTTGTATGTCACATGTATTATATACTGTATTCTTATAATAAAGTCAGAGCAGAGAAAATATTTAGAAAATCCTAAGGAAGAGAAAATGCATTTACAGTATTTATTGAAAAAAAATCCAAGTTTAAGTGGACCTGCACAGTTTAAATCCTTGTTGTTCAGGGTCAACTGTAATTGTGGGACAGAGCATGAGCGAACAGAAGTAATAATGAGAGAAGGGACCGGGAGTCCAGCCCACGCCAACCCCTTATTTGTTCTTGGCTGTCAGGGGTTTCCGGCTGATCTTTTTCGATTTGTCATTATTTTTCTTCGGCGGTTCGGGGTTTGCCTGCATGTGTCTGCCGTAGAGACTGAAAAGAGAGAGGGAGAAAGAGTGAGATCTACCTTACCAACACAAGACAAGCTGCTATTGGTTAGACCTTTAAATAACAGGTTCATTGCCAGGAATATTCAGAAAGTCAAAGAAACCCAAAAGATCATCTTTGCTTTCTCTGGGTCATGCACTGTATTCAAGAATTCAAAATTCACATACACACACACCCCCACTCCAATGAGGTCCAATTCTGATCAGTCTCTTGGAATTTCACAGTCACTGGGTCACGTGTGAAAACAGCAAAGGGAGACAGACACAGGGCTGTGAGGGCTGACAATGCCCAGCCGTTCCAGACGGAAGCTACAAAGGCTGTGACTGTTTATGTCGACAATGACAAAAATTGGGTTGAACTGAAGAGATCGAGTGTCCATTTAGCGAAAAGTGAGCTGCAGGCCTGGCCCGAAAACCAAGGGGTTGGATAATGTGACAGAGAGCGATGGTGTCCGAGCCCGCTCGAGCTGCTGACGCATGATTGATAGTGCCGGGGTGGCGACCACCCATCACTGTCATGTTAGTAAGTACCCCTGATTAAATGTTGACAAAGTACCCTACAATTACGGCCCATAGCATTCATCGCACAGCAAACTAGCTCCGCACTGAGAGGCTTGAACTGAACAGCAGACAGTAATTAATCGATAATTTGAGTAATTCTGATTAAATGAAATTAAAAGCCACCTAAAATAAATACGGTTCAACCTCACCTCCCCTTATTAATTGTGTCCCAGAGAGAGCCTGGTGGGTGTGTCCATTTCCGCAGAGGAAAGACACTGCCTGCCTCTGCCTGTTGCAATTGCCTTGCACCCAATGGACGAGAGCTGACACAAAGACTGACTAGCCTCTGTGAGGTGTCCCTTGTCCTAAGGTCCACTTGAGGAACCGCAGCCCTCTCATGATGCTCATGTTTTGCCCGGCGCACAGGGCGGCGTTACTGGGCATATGCCAATGCTCTGATAACACTAGTTGACAGGCTAAGGGATGGCACACAGAGCTGGCCAGCTGATGGAGTGCTTAGGGAAAGCTGGACTCGGAGGTTTTGGTAGGTCATCGTGTATCTGGTCTTCTCCAGAGGCTTCCAAGTGTCTCCTTAAAGCAGTCTGAGCAGGTCCCACCAACAGTCATCGGAAGGACAGGTCTCTGCCCCCAAGGAGTTCAGAACTCAGAGTATGGAGCTGGCAGCAGACGCACCTACAAGCTGGAGAACGCATGTCCAGCCAGGGGCTGGGATTGTTCTCCAGGTAAAGGGGTGGGCCATCTCTCGGGTCAGGAGGTACCCCATGTCCTAGGCCGGTAACATTAGCACCTGCAAGTTAGCTTTCAACTTCTGTGAGTTAGCTTAGACGTTTTGCTAATCCCCCCAGTCTGACGGTGGGTCACCCTGTGCCCCCACAGGAACATCTCTTTCCTGAAAAGAACCCGCTACCCAGGAGAACGGATCTTTAAACCTACGTAGGCCGCTCTTCCCTATACTTGGAAAAAAAACCAGTCTTCCCTGACATCTACGTCAGGCAAGCTGGGAACCCTGGATCCCAGATAAAGAAGCATTGATTCAGGCAATGAGGAAAGTCCAGCCAGTCCAGTTGTACTTCTGTGGCTTTCTCAAACCCGGTAGTGTCCTTGTCCCAATCCCCAGCACCTGTGATTGTCACCTTACATGGCAAAAGGGATTCTGAAGAGGTGATTAAGTTAAGGATCTTGAGATGGGAAGATTATCCTGCATTATCTGAGGGAGAGGGGTCCGGCCTGTGCACCCCCTTTTTGTTACCCTTCCAGCATCTCTCCCAGATGCATCAAACAGGCAGGCAGAACCCTGAGCCAAGGAGACTCGTCTGTTTTATACGCCTCACCTTGATCACACATGCTCTGAAACATATTGAGCCTCTCCCAGCACTGCCCTTCTCCTAGGATGTGCTTTCCTCGAGCTCAGGGGCTTAGCGCTCAGCGTGACATGCCCCAGAGGGACGCCTGTACTCTCTGGGCTCCTGTCACCTGGCACCAAGCAGAGGTCTGACTCTGCACTGTGCATTCACACAATCCCAGGATCCTCGGTTATTCAGCTTTCTTACAGCTTCACGTATCTCTCCTCTACCTTCCAAGCCTTTATCCCCATGCAGCAAAAACAGACACATTCTTACTCACATACCACATCAAACTCTAAGGGTTACACAGATCTGCAGAAGTACAAGTCCATAGTTCATGCACTTAGAAACCTGGCAGTACACAGGTGCTAGGGAAGTGTATCAGCAAAAATGAGGTCAGAGGAAGGAGAAGAGAAACGAGGCTTGATATGGGCCTGCTGAGTACTGTGTCCTGGGTGAGGAGGCATGAAAGGCTCTCCAGAAGGGGACAGGGGCGAGGGGTGGCCTGACGATGGTGGTCATCTAGCAAAGTCATTTCAGAAGAGGGTGCAGAACTGCTGGGGACTCAGCCAGCAAGGGTCCTCTTTTTAGGAAGAACTGGAATGTTCCAATGCTTCCATTCCTTACTTTTCATATGCAGAACCCACGGCGCCCGCACCTCCTAGGGCGGCACGCAAGTCACTGCAAAGGGCCAGATGGACAGCAGTGCTGGCTGCTGTTTAAATCCGAGTTTTGCCACTTAGTAGTTGTTGACTCTGGGCAACTGATTAGTGTCCCTCACCCCCACCAGGCCTCAGTTTCTCCAGCTGCAAAAAAAAACAAAGTGGTTTTCCTCACCGGGTGGCAATGGTGGTTAGATAACCCAGCACCGTGGTAAGCATACTGCCAGTGGCCAGCAAACGCCTGCTGAAAAATAGGACTGACATGGGGTTACAGTCCGAGTGATTACATACAGATAATTATGTGATTACTTCACTTCTTTAGGGCTTTCTCCTCAGAAAAAAAGGACATGGCGTTTTCTATCAATGCCAAATCCCCAAGCATCTCTGGAAGAAAGGTTTTAATGCTCTTTGAAGAAAGCAACTAAGGCAGAGCCAGCTGCAGTGCCCCACTTCCTCGGTGAGTCACCGCAGAGCCGGATGGCGCTGCCCTGCCTGTTCTGTGTGACCCTCCACTCCCCCAGCTGTGTGGGCACATGTGTGTCCACACGTTACGGCGCGGCTGCTCCCACGTGGAGACATGGCTGTGGCAGAGCAGGATGGACACATGTCTCGGGGTCCAAAATCCTGGGCTCCGTTCCTGGCTCTACCAGCGATCAGCCATGGGGCCTCCATTGGGTAATTGTGGAAGGCAGAATAATGGCCCCCCAAATGCCCACACCCTAATCCCTGAAATCTGTGAATATGATATATTGTAAAAGGGACTTTGCAGAGGTCATGCAGTTAAGGATCTTGAGCTGGGAAGGTTAACCTGGCTTATCCGGGTGGGCCTAATGGGCCCTTACCAGAGGGAAGCAGGACGGGGAGTCAGACAGTGTGAACCCGCACTCTGCTGGCTTTGAAGATGGAGAGAGGGGCTACCAGCTAAGGAACGCACGCCGCTTCCAGAAGCCAGAAAGGCAAGGAAATGCATTCTCGCCTCCAGCCTCCAGAGGAAGCAGCCCGGCGCACACCCTGATGTCAGACTGCTGACCTCCAGAACTATAACACAATACGTTTGCTTTGCTTTCAGCCACCAAGTTCATGGGGAATTTGTTCCAGCAGCCACAGGGAACCCATACAGTAAGCGAAACTCTCTGGGCCATACACAGGGCAGCCCCTCAGGAAGATTCTGCTTAAAAAGAAAGAAAATTTCTGGGGTAGCAGCTCACTGAAATGAAGGAAAAGTGAAAAGCTCGGTTTCAGAAAGGGCACAAGGCGTCCCCAGAGAAACACAGGGTGCTGTTTCTACCAGCAGGATGGGAACAGGCGGACAACTGTCATGTCCGCTGTGGTCAGACTGAGGACCCCGGCTCCTCTATGCTCTGAGGCTAACACTCACGGCCCGTGTTCTAAATGTCTCTGGGATTCATTTACAGGGGGTCACTGAGTGTTGATGACATGGAGACGTCAGTGCCACTGAAAGAAGTTTTATTACGTGCAGTTCCAGAGAACAGGGAGCACGGCACGCAGGGCCACATGGATGGGGAAGCACCAGGGTCGGTCAGGAGGCAGAAGGAGCGATGGAGAGGGCACAGTCCAGGGCCTCCATGTGGTTTCGTGGGAAGGAATGGGTGAGGCAGGGGAGGCAGGCGCGAGCGAGTTCTGGCTTGGGTCATGTGAACACTTTCAGTGGGCTCTGGGAGACAGTGGTGGTCTCCAGTTGTCTGTTACCGTGAACGGGAAAAACGATCTTGGTGTGTGTGCGTTAGATAAAGGAGATGAGTGAGGGTTTGGGCTTTGCACTGGGTAGTTTGTACGTGAAAGGTGTGCTTGCAGACAAGTTGTCTGCTGTCTCTGGGAGTTAGCTAGCCCAAGGAAGGGCAGTCTCTCCTCAACCTGCAAGACCCAATATGTCAAAGCATCACAAAATAGAGAAAATAAAAAACAGGATTAATTAATACAGCCCACAACCTTTGGAGTTCTGTCCTCTTGACTGCCCCGTATCCTCCCCTCCTGAAATGCTTTGCCCCTTTGGGCCTTGATGAATACAGCTTCTCTTGAGGGACCCATTCCTTCTGCCTCCTCCACCTGGGACAATCCCAACCATGCCTGACAGCCCGCCACGAGGCACTTCCCAGACCAGCACATCCCCTCGGCGCTCTGCATAGGTGGGCCCTGCCCCACCCGGTCCTGAGGATGCTTGGAAGACCGTTCTGGGCATCACTTACCTCTGCATTCCCACACCCTGCTTGGATCTGAGTGACATGTGACTTTGGGCAAGTGACTAACCTGCCACAGTCTGAGATCCTCATCTGCAAAATGAGGATAAAAATGTCCCCTACCTTGCAGGGTTCAGGAGGAGATCAAATCAGACATGGAAACACGCCTGTTGGCAGGCACATCACAGCTGTTCCGGGATGGCCTCTCACGAAGGCCCATGACTCGGGCTGAGCTGGCCAGTTCCTACTGCTCTCAGACGC